ACCAATCATAAGGTAACGATTTTAAAATTTTACTACAATATATTTTAATGCTTTTTACTGTGTATATTAAATATTATAAAAAATAATTACACATTTTTTAACTGACAAAAATTAAGTAGCTAGGCGTTCCATTTTAAAAGTTATTTAGTTACAATATTTCCCAAATCTGTTGATAAATAAGAGTCAGTAACCAGATACAGAAGTTACACATTTTTTAACTGACAAAAAATAAGTAGCTAGACGTTCCATTTTAAAAGTTATTTAGTTACAATATTTCCCAAATCTGTTGATAAATAAGAGTCAGTAACCAGATACAGAAGTTTTCACTATAATCAACATGGACATTTAGATTAAGCTGATATTCTCATAACAAAACGTGCTAAATAACCAATATTTATTATTCAACTTAGTGGACATCTTCCAGAAACGTTAAAGTAATGGATAACGAGAGCATATGTTTTCTTAACTTTTAAAAAGCGTATATTTTTACTTGCTCGTAAAGCTCGAGTATAGAGGAAGTATTATAATCGTGATGAACAATTTTCAGGTTTTTGTCAGTTTTTATCTTTTTACAGCGCGCTACTTTATCATAGACAGAAGTAAAATAAAGCTCGATATTTGAGCGTTTTTCCGTAACCGGAAGGGGTACTTAAAATACTTCCTGTTTCTCAATAGCCTGTGACATTACCTTTTAAGTTAGTTTAGCAAAATTCAATATATAAGTATATAATTATTATATAAGTATATTACTATACGCCAAAATTTTACTCAACATTTAGACTAACATTGGTAAACGGAAGTTTTACTTTAATCTGTTTCCGTGGGAACTCAGTAAATTAAGTATTGTATCAGTACGGTAGACAATATTTTATATATAAATACAAGATATTATACTTTGATTACTTTCAATTTTGAGTGAATACTGATAAGAGAAAGTGGTTCTCTATTGCCGTTTTATCAATTACCGAAAACGTAAGTATCAATTTTTGGAGGCAAACGATATTTTATAAGGCTTGATATCCTATTCTGTTAATTCTATAAAACTTTGCGTGATTTCCGGTAACCGTGAGTAGTACTTTACCTCATTTCTGATTTCTCAAAAATATCACAGCTACTGAAACTATCAGTTTTAAGCTTTTCTCGTAGGTCAAGATAAAATGCCAATACACTGTGACATAAAAAGTTACATAATTACATGTTTAGTTAACTTTTAAAAAAATTAATTAGTTTATTAGAATTCTTTATTGAGAAAAAAAGAATCAGAAGTGCTATTAATTACTATTTGTTGAAAGATAAAAGGCTTGACTGGTATTTTAAAATTTGCTCTTAATTTTCTAAGCCTAACCCCAACACTAATGCATGTTCTAACGCTAACCCTAACTCTGACCCTAACGCTAAGATGTATTAAAATTTAATACAGTAGCCCGCGTAATCTAAAGTGTCTTTTAAAAAGAATATAGTATTATGATTTTTAGAATATGTATCACACATTAACTTATTACAAACAAATTTTATAAATTAATGTTGATGTTTGAATCCAAATCAGTATCAAAATTTAATTTTAAATGTTCAGTAAATGTGCATTCAAAATAAATTTTCTATTACTCTCACTAACAGGATTGCTTCAACTCTTGCGTGGTAAACCCGAAATGTATTGGATATGCACATTCCAAAATAAAAAAGAGATGCGGTCTCTACTATCTGGATAAAGCCACGACTGACACCAAGACTGACAAGTCAACATCAAGTTTTATTCGCTGCCCAATGAAATAAAATGGTGCTGATAAAGCATGTAAATGCATGTGCTTTGCGGATCATAACTTTCTAATAAAAAATAAATAAATAATCATACGTTTTTTTAAAAATTACTTTTTACAAAAATGTTGCTTAGGTCCAATTAACAAAAGTGTGAATATGTAGTTAACTTACAAGGCTACACTTTTTTACATAGGAAAACATATTTTTCTAAAAAAAAAAAACCAAGCAGAAAAGCTGGTAATTTAATAACATAGATAAAATGTGTTGTGTTTGTGAAGGTAAAAATATATCACTGTCGTCTAGGTTACGAACACCACCCTCTACTTGCATTCTATTCTCACTTTCACTCCCTCTGTTTTCTAAGTTATTCAGCGCGTTTGTTACGTCCCTTACGTGACCAGCGGTGATTTGATTGAGCGTCCGTTAGAACTTGGCTTGATGAACATCTGTATTGCTGGTGCACTGTCTACTTAGTAGTGTTTTATTCTCCACATGTTTCACAGTTGACATGGGAAGAAAACCCTAATTCACTATCTTAGCTATGGCGTTTCCTCCAATATTGTTCTCACGCGGTCAATGAGACTATTGTTGTTTTTGTCCATTAGAATCATGATATTTACCTTACATTGTGTTAGAAATTAAGAATGATAAGCACTTTAAAATACATTGACATTTTTTTTAATTTAGAAAAACCGTAAAAGATATAAAATAGGCCGAGGCGCCCTCCCGCCGCCCGGAGACATACTTTCAATTTGGCGCCCCACTCCGATATATTTTTTATATTTATAATTCAAAATAGCAGCTAAAATGAGCTTATTGTGGCGCCCATAGAGTCGCGCCCGGGGACATATGTACCCCTTTCCCCGCTCCGTCTCCCCCTCCCCCGCCGTTGCTACGCCTCTGAAAATAGGTTGATTGGATAAAACATTTTTACCCGTTTTTACTCCGAATTATAGACCACTTTGTACAAATTGTGTGTTAAATATGTTCTCAATAGCTAAAACATAGATACATATCTATAGATATATTATGCTAAAACAAATTTAAAATCTTTACAGCAATAAGCATGTAAATAAATAAAAAATAAGAAAATATACTAATTTGCTTTCTTTAATAAAAGCTGTTGTTGCTAAAATGTGCAAACGATCTCATGAGAAACTTTAATTAAAAGCTTTAATTAAAGAATATAAATTAGTTTTATTTTCTCATTTTCGGTGCAATTAAAAGCGTATTGCCGTAACTGTTTTTATATTTGGTTTTTTTTCCAATTTTTAGTGATTCCTAAATTATGAACTGGAAACGACTAAAAATATTTGCTTTAAAAAATCATCTGTAGCTCTTAATATCTGAAAGACGATTATCTGCTGAGTGAAAATCAGCCATCCTTGACCACAATACACAGACAACAACAAGCTGATAAAGCAAAGATAGTCCTTAATCTTGCTACCTCCTCTTGGTTTCAAATAAATTAAAAACCGTACTATCTCCCCATAGTAGTTTTTACTGGATCGACGGGCTCTACAATTGTAAACAATCTCTTGAACCACAGCTCACCAGACATTTCGGATAATCGCTTCTTGCTAGTCATCTCCCCTTCTGTTATTGATTATATTAATCTATCAAGTGATTTAATTTTATTTCCCCTATGTTTTGAATCAGTGTAATTAATTTTTAATAACGAATAAAAGATCTAATTAATTATTTAAAAGTTAAACTGGTATTGTCATCGAAGTGGAAGGTATCTGACAAGTCTGAATGAAGTTTCTACATTAGAAGTGGGTCAACATTGAGTTAAAATTTGCCACAAACACACAAACAAAGAGATATTTCAAAGTAAATAAAAGATCGTAATAAAAATTACAGCATGTGGGTTTGTTTGTAGGTTTGTATGATAGTTGGTCCTTTATGAATGATTATATAGATTGGGCGTCCTGCATAGCGGGTAAAGGGTACTAAGCTATTCAGTGGTAAAACTGCAACAGTTGCAACCAAGGGCGTCATTGCAGCGTGAAATTTGGTGGTCTGTGCTATACCTTGAGTGCTATGGTGCATACGTTCGCTTTGAAAAGTCGTTCACTAAATCGAATCAGCGGTGTCTTCTTACTCCGGACGGTGATATTTGGTGCCTTGAGCTTTCCCGTGAGCGCTATAGCGCTTAATTTCTTGTTATAGATTGATATAGAATACGGATACGATGGTGTTTTATACTCATTCACTAAATTGAATCAGGAGCGTTCTCCGACAGGGTGCTATTTGACTTACCGGGTTATCGTTTGAGCACAATAATACCTACGTTGTGTTTTAAAAAGCACCCGACATTTGTTTATTAAACTGAGCTAGAGGCCGTACAAAATACGCATTGGCTATATAAAAATAGAGTGCTAGACTGTTATCCGTTAAGTCTAGAGTTCGAATTCTGATTGAAGTAAGTAGAGCATCTTTGAGTCCACCCAGCTTTGTTAGGTAGCCAACTTAAGCAAGGTCATGTTGCTGACCACACAATCTATTCTTACTCTGTGGTCACAGAAACAGTGGATATCTCATTGGACGGTACAGTGTGTTAATATAACGACATTTTATAATACCATACAATGCAAACACGGTTTCGTACCTTCTGTGAGACCGACATTTGATTTGTAAAAGTTTTTGATTATTTTACTTTCCATTAATGATTTAATGTTATAATAATGGAAAAAATAATAATCGTTTTTGATTTTTTTTTTTGTAATATAAAAATCACTGAAGGATGTCCCAAATGAATATTGCAGGTGTTCTATTCTAAGAACAGGAATTTGTTTGGTTTGATACGTTTTTTTTTAAATTGGGGGGGGGGGGGGAGTGGCTTGATGGTATATTTGCATTGCAGCCAAAATTCCGTTTTCCAACGGTAACCTGGGTCGTCTTGTATTATACTAAAGTTTTTACCTATATATTTTTCACAGTCAAGAGACCAGCAAAATCTATAATATGTATAGATTTTTAAAAGTCGTACTTATATAACAAAAGTATTCGGGTTAAAGCGATTATGTAAGTACTAATATTTTAGTTTCAAAACGTACTTTTAGTTATACAAACGAAGAAATATGATTACATTTCGATTTGAAGCAAAATAAAATGACATCCTATGAAAACTTTTTTTTTTTGGTCATAGAAAAAACATCAAAATATAAATTAGTGAGTACCAACAAGAAATAAATAAAAACTCAAAGAATAATTGATTTTTTTTATTCGAGGCCTGAATTTCATATAATTTTTTTTCTTAGCAATGGAATAGCTTAAATTATAATTAAATGTCTTTTTGACGTAAAACTACTTTTCGAATAAAAGTTGCCTTCCATTAAAAATGTTATTATAAATTGGAGAACTTGGTTTCATTTATGTTTGACTGTAACATTTTAGAATATCTTGTCTAACAGTGGCGAGCATTGGTGGCTCAAACTGAAAAAAAAAAAAAACAATAATTATGCAGATAGTAATATAAATATTTCAAATGGAATTTGTCTGTAGCTGAACTGTTTGTAGCAGAATTGTTTGTTTGTAATATGCATTCATATAGTTAAAAAAACTCTACTTCATCACCATTTTATAAAGTGTTAATTTTTGTGCTAAAATCTAAATTGATATCTAGAAAACTCAATACTTATTATTGTTCAACACATTGAAATTAAGTTAAATACGTTATCAATATCAAATGAAAAAAAAAGAGACGCTGAGGCGAACCGCAGGAAAACAACAAAGAAGAGCTGGACTGTCTAGGGGCACTGAGAAATAAGTCGCCACATGCCGGCTAATTTGGAAATATCTTTCTGCGCGGCCACACGCGCTATAGACACTCAGACTGAGAGAAAAATTATTAATATAAATTATACACACAAAGTGTCTTAACGATTTGTTTTCAATACTATAAGCCCTTACTTTATTGACCAAGCCCTTCACAGAGGCTGTGGACGATGTTGTTCAGTAGTCCAGCAAGTTGGTCAAACGAATAGATGGTCAGCACAGCGTTAAAAGCGGGACCCACGATCTTGTAGTCGTCCGCGGTAAATTGGTCCCCGATCCAAATGGCTGTAATTTGTTTGCCTTTGTTCTTGATGGCCTCAGCCTGTTTTAGAGCTGGGGTAGGAATGGAAAACATGGTCGGGGTAAATTATGATAAATTCACAGCCGGGAAATGAAAATGTTTACTAAATTATTTAGTATTCGTTAAAACATTCCGATAGCGTATTGAGTAGTAAAGATATAAGAAAGATATTATTTTTTAGCAATACGGCATAGATTACGTTAAACGCTTACTTTGTTTTAGAGCCGATAACTTTAAGTCTGTAATCAGGACGACATTTTGCTTTGCAGATGCGCGGTTGTTTACCTTGGTAGTAAACATGTTTTTAACATTCAACGCTCCCAAGGCTTTGGTGGTAACATTGTTAACATTCAGGTCTAATCTGGGCTTGAGGACCTGCAGGTGCAAAAATGACATATGAAAATAATATGCAGTTTTATTTAATTATTTTCAAGTATACAACGTCAATTGTACTCTTGAAGCATACACGCAATAAAGCTTTTGAAATATCTGTCAAGTTTGTAGTAAAATGTATCTAACCTACTCACAGCTAATTGAAATGTAACTTGATGTCAACCTTGAGCACATAATTTATATTTATAACAGTAATGATATTTTTAAATTAATGAAGATGGCATGTAAACATTTAAAAGCAAACGATTAGCACAGATGCTCATTTAAAATTATTAGTCAACGTTTTCGAAGTATTAATTTGAAGAAATACAGCTCTATAAAACTTGCGATAGATGTAAACATGTTTCATCTATTTCATAGTTTATAGTACTGTTTTTAATTTACTTGTATATTGAAGCGACACTCCCCTTGTTCTCAACTAGGTTGCTTTGATTCCTTAATTATTTTAAACTATTTTTAAAGTTGACGTTAATTATCAATAAATAAATTATGACACTACATAAGAAATAGGCCTACCTTTTCAATATTTGTAGCGTTGGGTGTGTTCCAGAGGTCAAGCAGCCCTACGACATTGTTCTTGTAGGTTGCCACTCCAAACCTGGCATTGCCTGGTCCCAGTTGGAACTGCTTGATGACGTCAATTGTAAACTTGAACACGTTCTTCCAGTCATCACTCTGATAGTCTCCTGTAGTACCCAGCACAAAGAAGGTGTCGACCAGCGTGTTGGCGGGGCACCTATAGGTCTGCGTCGGATCGCCTGGACATTACAGATCGTTTATTTCAAACTTTACTCACAGAGAAAAACGTAATTATAGTAAAGTGCGGAATATTGAATTAGATGACAGCTTCATACCTTTCAAATTACCTATTTTGCAAAATTCGTATTTAAATTAAATAGATTAAAAAAAATGTCAGTTTGGGTCTAAAAATTTATTTTAATTTTTTTTTATATAGCTATGATTATTTTGTTTTATTTTATTTAACAAAACTAAACATTGAATGCTAGCAAACGTATATATTATTTTCATACCAGCATATGTGTCACCAAGGAAGGTGGCTAAAATTAGCGTCACTATGCTTAATCTGATCATCATGGAAAATTGCTGTGCTCTGAAGATTCAGTCAACACTGGGGACAAATGAAATATAAGTGTTAGATCATTACATCTGCTCTGCGAACTTTTCTACATCTTTTTTTCTTATAGTTAGCAGAAGAAACAAGTGCCTTTATTTAAGATTCGGTGCGCACGAAATATTTAGCGGCAGTAGCCGGTGGCAGTTCTAATCGGATGGCGCGATAGCACGACATTGTAATTAAGTGCGCAATAGAGAGAGATAACATGTATCGGAATTGTGATATTTCTATATCTTGAAAAAACATGACGTCAGGACACACGTACTTCACGAATCATCTCAACACCACCTACACAGGCGCGCGTTAATCGTGTATAAACGTACTGTGACGAATATACTTTATATTTCGATATCGTGGCCAGGTTGGTAGTTCGTGACTGTCGAGATGGTAGGCCTACGTCTTGTGATTTATTTTTTTATATAATCCCTTCATACTAATTATGTAGAGCAAATAGAAATTGGACGGACAAATAACTATGGAATAACATGTATAACAGTTTTTGATGCGATGATTTACAACGCCAAGTTGAGCTTTTCTAGTCTAGGAGACTGAACATGACACAACACTACGCTCGATGAATCAAAGTGAAGCTACGTATTTTTGAACTGGTGTCTGAAAATAAGCAGCAGTCACGCTGATTGGAAGTAAATATTCATTAGTATGTTTCTGTTTATGTTGAAAAATAATATTTTAAGTTTTTTTTTAGCACGGCAATGTTGATGCTTTTTCTCCAGTAAAATGTTACGAATTAGAAAATAAATTACATATTCTTTTCCTTTTTAGAAGGGTTCGGTGGAACCTGGAGGCTAGTGTGATTCGGTAACTCTAACATATTTAGAGCTAGTATATATATATATATACATATATATATATATATATATATATATATATATATATATATATATATATATATATATATATATATATATATATATATATATATATATATATATATATACTTCAGCCAACTCTATGTATTCATTTAATATGATCCAAACAGACGCTTTTAAAATAAAAGTGTACATGAAGGTTTACATTAAAGACGTACCTTTTCGTTCAGAATAGACCGCACGAACAAACGCAATTCGAATCGCTTATTTCCCATATATACTTTTTAATTAGCTAACCAATTCCACGTAGAACTTTTTATTTCCGTTGAAATGAAACAGACAATTGGAATGCTATTTTGATGAATTTTTACCCGCATCTATAACTGTTAGTTAAGCATATCTGCCTAAAGATATCATTGTTTACTGAATGCAAGTATCAAATACAGAATAATTATGTATAGATATTTCAAAATATTTTTGATCACAAATGTAGCTAAATTGCATATTTAATTGAAAATTCGACATTTACATACAGATAAACAAATTGCTTTTGCAAGTGCTATGTCAGCAAACTCAACAGTTTTTTTTATTTAATTGCAATTTTGCAGAGCAGTGTATTTCGAAATAAGGTGTGAATATTTTTCGAAATGTTGTATTTAACCTCTAGAAGTTTAGACAACACCGGCTCTTAAAATGTTGGTAATTAATACTTCTTTATAGCTGTTTCCTAACTATCCTAGAATATATATTTTGATACATTCAATATCTCTTACATTAACTGTTAAAGATAAAATATAATTAGACTAGAATCATTATTAAAAGAATAGTTTAACTTTTGATTTTGAAAAAATAAATCCTGTAAACTAAATTTTTTAAAGTGATTTTGCCCGTAACAACATTTAGATATATAATCCCAACGCTTCAAACCTTAAAGGTGTTATGATTTTTTTTTGCGATGTGAAATATTGTTCACCCTAAAATACTCACGCTATGCGCTGACTGTGGTTAGCATTGCGCGTGTATTACGTCTATAAAACGCATCGAAGGTGCTACGAATTATAGGCCTTTCTGCAGTGGCGTAGCTAGGATTTTTGGGCCCCTATGCAAAAAGTGTTAGTGGGCCCCTCAGAGGCGTAGCGACCCTTCCCGGTGACCAGTCACCCCCCCTCCCCCTCAGACTTTCGATTTGCACCCCCCCCCTCAGACTTTCGATTTGCACCCCCCTCAGACTCTTGATTTGCGCCCCCACCCCCTCAAACTTTCGAAAAAGGGCCCCTATTTGCCTTGGGCCCCTATGCCTTGCCTTACGCTAGCTTTACGGTAGCTACGCCACTGCATTTCTGTCGGTCAAACACTTGCTGGTATAGTGACCTTTTTTAGTTTGATGAAATCTTCGCTTTCATTTGTAGTTTAAACATAGTATCTTAGAAATTTGGTGTAGCTTTTTAATTTGGGGAGAAAGCACTGTTTTTATGATTATAAAACTATAAAAAAACAGGTTTACGTTATTTTAAACTGACCTTAAGTAAAGTAATGCGTAATAAACATGTCTATTTTAAGAAATGCACCACCCTCCCCTCTTCTATTCCTCCAGCTCGCTAGCCAACGAATAGCCACTTCATAACCATGTTATATAATTTTATGACAGGCTCGTGCAAATTCACCGAACTTTAAATCGGACAGTATATATTACATGTGTGAACTATACCCTTGTATGGCTTACAAATAATTGATGTCATGAATTGGTGATTGGATTGTTATCTAACATAGTAAGTGATCCACTATAGACAGATGTTGTTTTCTTTTTCGTTTGTGTGGATATTTGAAATTTATGGCAGATCGAATCCTAAGACAACATCTAACGAATGGGTGGATGGGTTGAGGAAAGTCCCCCGCCGGCGTGATTTTCTTTCCAACAACCGTTGTGTTCCAGGCTTGCTCGTTGGTCAAGTTAATAGTGTAATAATTATCAAATATCTACACACTTAGATAACTTGCTAACAAGCATAATCTTGTGTGTTAATTGTTGTTCTTAAAAAAAAAAACACTCGATGAATAAGCTAATCAATATTTAAGATTTATACATTTATTGCAGGTTGTTCATTTAATTTAACCTTACATAAACAATAACTTTCTGAACCTTATAAATACACATTCACATAATTAGTAAGACATGAATTTCTTTCTCATAAAACAAGCTAATTTTGTTTCTAAAAGAGGAAACGTATAGCTCTCATTTTCATTAATTAACACTTCTCAACATCGCGGTTTACACACAAATAAAAAAGAAAACCCAAGGCTAAGATCCAACTTTATAAAAGACTAAAACTTTTCACATGTACTTAGCACTATACTATGATTTATATTTTATAATGTATGTAATGGTAATTGTAGTTAGTTGTTTTATTACATTTATCGGCCTTTTGTCTTGTAATAGTTTTGCATGTCGGCCTTATTTACTGCTGGATTTTGTCTTGTCGGCCTTTTGTCCGTGTCGGCTTTTGTCCATGTTGGCCTTTGTCCGTGTCGGTTTCTCCATGTTGGTCTTTTGTCCGTGTCGGCTTTTGTCCATGTTGGCCTTTTGTCCGTGTCGGCTTTTGTCCATGTTGGCCTTTTGTCCGTGTCGGCTTTTGTTCATGTTGGCCTTTTGTCTGTGTCGGCTTTTGTTCATGTTGGCATTTTGTCCCGATCCCCGAAAAAATGGACCAAAACAATTTAAAAGTATATGTTTAATGATCCTAAAGAAAGGAGGCTGTTGTTGTTTTTCTTGTTGATCTGGTTCTTGTTGTTCTTGTTGCTATTCTTGTTATAATTGTTATTGTTGTTGTTATTGTTATTGTTTTTTACTTTCTCGTATATATGAAGAAAGGAGAAAGTCTTATAACAGTGCAAAAAAAAAAGTCGAGATTTTACAAATCTCGACGTTTTGCACCTCACTGATACGGAAAAACATAATTTTGCAATCTTGTCCCTATGTTTGCGTGTCTGTGTGTGTGTAAACACTATAACTTGAGTACCGTTACAGCTAGGTTGATGAAATTTCATATATCAGTGTTTTATCAAAATCGTAGATCCGTATCAACTTTTGAGAGATTTCCGATAACCGGAAGTGGTACTTTTTCTACTTTGAATTTTTCAAAAGCCTATAACTTGAGTAGTATTTCAGATAGATAAATGAAATTTCACATGTAAGTAAAAGATCTAATTCTCTACCTTCTTTCAAATTTTGAGTAATTTCTGTTGACCGAAAGTAGTAATTTACGCTATTTCCGATTTCTCAAACAACGCATGTAAATTTATTAAGTACTAATAATATTGCGCACTTTTATGCACATCTTTATTTGGCGTTCACTTGGTGCGCAATTCTTTTTTCTACGAGATTCTATTCTATTTTTTAAAAGTTTAAGTAATTAATAATCATGTCTATATTCCGAGTTGCCATCCCACGTAGAATTATATAAGAATATTCGAGAAAGTTAAGGGGAGATTACTCCCGGTTTATTTTAATTTTTTATTGTTATTGTTATTTTCATTTTACCATGAAATGACATGTTAGTTCATCTTAAAAATTAAAAGTGCAAAATAAACAGTCAAAGAAGATTGCAGATACGACTAATTTTATTATTCCAAAAAATACTATTACACAAATACCTTAACACTGAAACAAACTCTCAATTTTCGGTCTGTATTTATGAAACATTTTATTCCCTTGATGTCTTCTTGTATTAATCGTGCTCTACATAAAAGGTTACTTGACATAGGGGCTTACGCTAAAAATACGTAATGAAAAAAACAATTATCAAAAACGTATTTAAGCTAAATAAAGAAAATTCATAATACAATTTATATGTATATGTATATGTATATGTATATATATATATATATATATATATATATATATATATATATATATATATATATATATAGAGAGAGAGAGAGAGAGAGAGAGAGAGAGAAAGAGAGATTGAGAAATAGAGAGAGACAGAAAGACAGACAGACAAACAGACATAGCAGATATAGAAATATATATTAGGTTCCATGACAAACTATCTCGGACAAAAATTTTCGCGGACAATTATCTGTGAACGAAGTATCCTAATATCTAAGAGTCGAAGATGTATCACCTTTAGTGGCATCTGAAACAAAAATTGATCCACACATGACGTCACAACATTAAAATAGTTTATTTTTTTTCAGCCTAGACTAAACGAATATTACGACTAAATTGATACAACTTAATATATGCTACATAACTTTAACGTCATATTTCTGATCTTATATTTTATATTCTAAATATTAAATATCGTTATTTTAAATAAAATCATAACGTGAAATATAATTATGTTAATGCACTGAACTTAATAATCAAATGCGTGTGTATTGCACTAGTAAATGTGCGAGGTGTTAACAGTTAACTTACAAGAGCATATCCTGTCCTGAATGTCGGTGACGATGGTACTGAGTGAGCGGAAATCATATGTGATGAGGAAATCGCTGGGACTGCTGGCGATCTCCTTGAGAGAATCTACGTTCACATCAGGGCCAATTCCAATGGTGATGATGGCCACGTTTTGGAACTTTAACTGATTAGCCGCATTACGGGCTGCGAGAAATTGCATAATATAAATTGTTACGTTCATTCAGTTGAAGATAATTTGGTTTAAAATACATAAATAAACATTGGGTGTAAAACACATTTAATTCAAGTAGTTTTAGTAACAATTTTTAATATTTATATGTAATACATTCTTTGTACTAGATTTCTAGCCAAACATTTCCTACCTTGGTTTCTTAAAGAGGCATACCCGTCAGACAGAAGCACGACAATGTCCCTAGCCCTGGCTCGACCTCCTGACTTGACGTCAAATACAGCGCTCTGGCTGACAAAGTCCAGAGCTTTCCCGGTCTCAGTAGCTCCGTCTAGAAATGGGGCCGCCAGGATTGCCTCAAGAAACATTATTTAACGTTATTTTAAAACATATTTGAGACTGGTATATTTTTATACAGGTGTTATTTTATTTATTTTATAAAATAACTTTTATGTTTTAAGAGGCACTTAAAACAAGCTCCAGAAATGAGCCGATCTTGTCTTAAGCCTTCTAAATATTGTCCCCTAAATTAAACATATGTATTACAATTTTCATTATTTTTGGTATCAAATTTTTTTGGGCTAATCGAAATCTAATTTTTAAAAGTTTCTTTAAAAACGTATTTATTGTTTTGTAGTATGACCTTACCTTCACTACAGAACCTATACTATCTGAGTCTTTAAGGTCAATGATTTTACTGACGGAATCACTGTACGCCGCAGCGCCGATCCTGTACGAGTTTGGACCGGTTGGTAAGGAATTTGCTAGAATGGCGACTTGCTCTTGTAGATCACACCAGTTTGTTGAGTTGATGGTCTTGGAAGAGTCCAAAAGAAAGTAAACATCGCCTGTCAGCCCGTCTTTACAGTTAGTGGGCTGTTTTGGTTGTTGTTTCAAGGAGGGGGCTGCCGCAAAACGAGTCAATAGTTTACGAGATTTGTGTCGGAAATAATCCTTCCCTTCGCCAAATGTTCGTTGGCGTTTTAAGAGATGGATCAGCTCATAAACATAACGACATTCACATATGTTAATGTTAGGTGACAAAAAATAAAGTACCTCAATGAATCAGCCTCAAGTATGATTATAGGAATATATTGGAATATGCCTGGGTATGTTATGTGTATGTTTATGTGAATAATTCAAAACTAAACGTTGAATAAAACTCACCTACAAGCCCTGGGTATGGTGAGAAGGTGACCTCTTCTGTCCTTTTTTCTGTAGTAGTTACTGTCAGAAACATCATTCATTATTGAGAGTGTATCAATAAGCTCTATAAGCAAATCGTGCTTTATTGTTGATAAAGCAATAGATATATAAAATACATGTTATACCTGGTGCTTTGACTGTTGTCGGAGGGGCGGTTGTAACCGGTGCTTTGACTACTGAAGATTGATTTATTGGTATGTTAATATCTTAAACATAATTTATAAAACAAACAAATCACCAATAATAAAGCAAATGAACAAATGGAAAGTATATACAACTATTATTCTATCGCTATCACTATGACAATGTTATAGTTCTTTTGTTACTTATTTTCTTTATTACATGCATTTTATAATTTTTTTCTGAACATTTTAACATAGTTTCCGATTCGAAATGACACACTCTTGTGTTATTTAAAAATTCATAATTTTTGCTTACACAAACACACACACACATACGTATGAACCTATATATATATATATATATATATATATATATATATATATATATATATATATATATATATATATATATATATATATACAGATAAAGAGTGATTGACGAGAGAGAGATACAGAGAGAGAGAGAGAGAGAGAGAGAGAGATAAATCGCTTCATAATGCAGTATTATATGTTATTGGGATATTTAACAAACAGAAAACAGAAATTAAATTACCTGGGCAGGATTTGTCAAGAATTTTGGACCTCAGCGAATTTAGAGAATCGTAGTTTGGGACAGAAAACGGTTGGTCCGGAGCTGAGAGATCTTTCAGCTTTGTTGCTGGAGCGTTATTGCTGATACCAACACTGATAAAGGTGACACCAAATTTTTTGATGGAATCCGTCGCTGGTTGGTTGTTAGTTTATTGCAGAATTTAGTACTTCGAAATGTTTTTTTCAATTTTAAAATGAGAATAAATTTTAAATTTGGTCTACATAATTATGTGTGCCACTATACTGGTTTACTTGCATTTACAATCTCACCCCTCCATCCCTTCTTCCCTCCCTTACGTCAGATTCAGTGGTTTGATATATCTAGGTCCCCTACATTTATTTTGTAAATCTTAAAAGATGTTTTATTTCAGTAAAGAAAAAAGTTAGTAAAATGAAAAGCATGTATGTTCTTTAACTGTTTGTGCTTCGTAATTGTGATTCTTTTAAGCAGACACGGATGCTTATTTTTAAGCTATAATTACATCTGTGTGCAGAAATAAATCACAACCACCATTCGAACTCGAGGCTTTCGGGTTAGCAGGCTAACACTCTACAGCTAGGGCACGCCATCCCCAAACATAAAAATACACAACAGTAAAACATTAGGGTTTCCTTGGATTCTGTCTAAATATTGATTTGGCTTATTTTAGAATAGCCAGTATTGAATCTGCTCAACCGTTCACTTAGCTTAAAGTTTAAGTGTTCTAATACTATTTCGCTATTCACCAGTACATTTAAATACGTTATGAACTATGACTTGATAATAAGAATCATATACATTACATCTTGATAGGAATGTAGTAAGACCATCTGTGATGTACACGATGTAACTTGCGGCACTTGTGCGACCACTGACTTTGTTAGTGAACATATTCCATCCCATAATAGCATTGAAAACTTGATCTGTATAGGACTGTGCGTTTAGATTACCGTTTCCTTTTAGTGCCTGAGTGTAATGAATATAATAAAATATTTGTTGGTTTTATATCATTTATTAAGTATTATCAAAGCAAATAACTATAGGCATGTAGTAGCAACTTCATCATTCCCACACGACGTTAAATGTACTTCATTATCATTACCGTTTCGGCCACTGATGGGTCCGTTATGTTCCTGAGGTCGAACAGTCTGACGGAGTTAGTAGCAAAAGTTACGGCAGCGACCCTAGCGTCCTTTGGGCCTAGCTTGAACTGCTTGATTAGGTCACTAATAAACTGGGCCTCCTTGTTCCAGTTGCCTGAGCCGATGGTGCTGGAACATTCGAAGACGAACGTCACATCGACAAGGGTGCCGTCTGCACATTTGGAATCAGCTGGGTAGAGGGTACAAAAACAAAGTAAATGTCTACATGTTACTCATAGAGAGACGACTTATATACTCAATTGCCCAATACACGATTATAATTTCTACATTAACATATAGAGTGTTAACTGTATTGTATTTCATATTATGTAGGTATACGGAAATGTACGTATCTAACTTTTTTATTGAAAGTAGACCCACGGCTGCCTTTTTTGTCTGCAATAATAACTATAACTAGTGTCTTGTGCTTAACTTTAACAAAAATATCTAATCTAACCATAAACCAAGTGTTAGATGTAATAAAAATACCGCCCTAACAGAGAGATCGGCTAAATAGATTGTTCAAACGGTGTTTTGTATATATTGTAATTGTTTTCATAGTGTAAAAAAAACTAAGGCAGTTGAATTAAAAAATTAATGCGATTTCAAAATCTTTATGAAAACTGTGACAAACTTTGTTAAAGTGTTCTATTCTTTGCGTGACCGTAATATTTCTTATCAATGTGAAATATGTCCATTACACTAGTCTAGACAACAAGAGGCTAACTCTATAAATACTTTTTCCTAAAAAAATGGAAATAAAATAAGTAAATCATCATGTCTTAATATGCATAGAGCACACACAAGATAAAAGTAAACTTGAAACCGTTGTGTTACCAATCGTTTGTTCTACCACTCGACCACGCCATCACACAACGTACACATTTTTGTGTGTAAATGATGTAACGTACTACAATATGTGTGCTCATTACAAGTAAAAAGAATGTTTGCTGTAAATGAACCAACATACCACAATATGTTTGCTCAAGCAGAAAGAATAACAAGGACACGATCAACTTCCACATCTTTGGTTCTCTGTTTTTCAATTTCTGACTTGTAAAATAATGTTATAAATTAAAGTTACGAACAAATGATGTGATAAAAAGGCAATAATGGTTATATATATATATATATATATATATATATATATATATATATATATATATATATATATATATATATATATATATATATATAACTGAATATTATACATATAATTATATATATATATATATATATATATATATATATATATATATATATATATATATATATATATATATATATATATATATGAGTGTTTGTATGCGTGTTTCTAAAGATATATAACAAATAAATATTTACCAGAATTTCAAACGCTTAGAACACTTTCCCCTTGCAAAATTAGCGAAGCTTTTAAATATTTTCAACTTTTAAGGGTAGTAGGTGATTAATTATACATTCTTTTCAACTCATGTGTCTTTTGAAATTATAATTCTTTTGTTTCTACTTCAGTATTGCATGCTGACACGTTATGGTGAAATGTAAAAAATAGCTGAATCAAACATGTGACCAAAAAAAGTAGACTGTTTTCTTTCTTTGTTTCAGTGTTTCGTGTTCATAACTGTAGCACACGAGCGCACCTGCTATCTATAAATAGACTAGCTATTTTCAGCTAGGCTTTGCTCCACACATTAAAAAAAATACTAACTGCAAATTTAAATGATAACGCACATATGTATGATTGTTTACAAAAGGAAAATTGAAGATAACTTCATAATGCTACTCTCAAAACAACAAAATCACATGCTTCTAAAAAGTAACCTACACATTACCTGCCATTCATCAATATCGCGATTAGTTAAACAAAATTGATAAGCATCATAATCAAATCATTTAACAGAAAATATATTGTTACTTACTTTCCCTTTCCTGGTCAGCAGCAGCCCCGCCCCCCCCCCCTATATGATACAATAATGATACAAACACATAAGATATCGGAATAGCATCATGTAAGAGTTTCAGAGCGTAACATTAATGTAAACTGAAAAAAAAACGAAAAGAACTCTAAACGGGGTGGTACTTTATTGCAATTGTGTAATATACATTTTTTAATTAGTTTTTTTCAATACTTTTTCTTTTTTTTTTACTTTCTCGTAAACAAAGTATAGAGAAAGTATTGTAATCGTGCAAAAAAATAAATAAATGGGAGTGATCTCCCCTAAACTTTCTCGAATATTCTTATATAACACTACGGGGGATGGCAACTCGGGATATTAACTTTCTCGTATAAAGAGTATAGAGAAAGTACTGTAATCGTATTGAGTCGGAGAAACATAGTTTTGCAATCTTGTCCGTATGTCTGTATGTGTGTGTATGTGTGTGTATGTGTGTTTGTGTGTGTGTGTGTGTCTGTAAACACGATTACTTGAGTACCGTTACAGCCATATTTGATGAATTTTCAGATTTAAGTATTATATCAAATTTGTTGATCCGTGTCAACTTTTTAGCGATTTCCGGAAAACGGAAGTGGAACTTTTTCTACTTTAATTTTTTTCAAAATCCTGAAACCTGAGAACTATTTCAGATAGATACATGAAATTTAATATATAAGTTAAAGATATAATTCTCTGCCTTCTGTCGAATTATGAGTAACTTCTGTTAACCGGAAGTAGTAATTTAGACTATTTTTCCGATTTAAAAAAACCCATGTAAATGACGTTCGCTTGGTGCGCAATTCTTTTTTTCTACGAGATTCTATTCTATTATAAAAAGTTTAAGTAATTAAAAATGGATTAAAAATATTGTCTATACCCCGAGTTGCATTCCCCCGTAGTGTTATTTAAGAATATTCAAGAAAGTTTATGGGAGATCACTCTCAGTTTATCAATTTCTCGTATACGAAGTATAGAGAAAGTATTTTAATCGTGCAAAATACAGTCGGAAAAAACAGTTTTAAAATTTTGTCCGTAGGGGTAAGCCGGGATAATTCCACATCCTATATAATGAATAATCTCTATTTTAAAAGCGAGTAAAGTTTAATTAAAAGTTACTATTTAGTGTTTCTAAGAGGTCATTTACTTTACTTTCTGTTATTGTTAGAGAAGCGTTCATCTACATCCAGAGCAAGAATTTTAATTTTATCTGCATCTATCTTCAAACATCCTTACGTAAGTACAACCCCTGCACTTTTTAAAAATAGTTCATTTTGTCTTATTTTGAATTGCTGTCCATTATTTCTTGATTTTATGAAAGCTTAATCATTTTTATTAATGGTAAAAATTAATGATGCTAGATTTAGCTGTTAATTTAGAACAGGATAGCATATTTTCCCCAATAGTAGATATGGGGCAATTCCACAATCATGGTGTGGGCCAATTCCATAACCTATAGTTTGGTATTATTTTTACTGTACCTATATTATTTATTATGATTTCTGCAATATTTATTGCTAAACATCCCCCATACACAAATTAGTAATTAGACTTTCTAACATTTATTTTTTTCTCATTTCAGAATGGTCCGCAACTATAAACGAAAAACTTTGGCCTATGACAAGGAGGCAATGAAAGCTGCGGTTGAAAAGGTCATCAGTCGTGAAATGGGCTACCCTAAAGTTGTGAATCACTATGGCCTTAAGAAAGAGCCTTACTTCACAAGACTGCGTTGAAAGATTAGAGGCAGAGGCAACAGAGAAAGATGTAAGGCATAAAAAGGCAACAAAAAAAAAACAATCTGCAGATCAGAAAGTTGTCTGTTGCTCTAACTCTTTTACTGACGAGGTAAGCCTCCTAATGAGAGAAGAATTTAAGGGGGAAAAAATTGAGGCTCTCTCTTCATCCATTGATGAAAAGTGGTTGACCCCACGCAGAATTGTTTCCAAGGGGAAAAATGTTTTTTTTTACACTTTTTTAAATATATGAATTTTTAAATTTTCATAATTGGTGTGGAATTGCCCATCTTGCCATGTTTTTGTAATAAAAGTGAAATATTTAAAAATTGTATTTTGTTGTATGAATTACCTCTATATTTGTTTGTCATCGTATTAGTAATGCATGTCTAGTTAATCGTCAATATTATATTGTGGTAGTGTTAATTTTAGATTTTTTTACACATTTTTGCTGGAAAAGTAGTGCATGGAATTACCCTATATCTTGTGTTTGTACGTTTGTATGTGTGTGTGTGGGTATGTCTGTGAACACGATAACTTGAGTACCGTTACAGTTAGGTTGATAAAATTACACTCATAGGTATTATATAAAATTTGTAGTTTTAATTCAACTTTTTAGCGATTAACGGTAACCGGAAGTGGAACTTACTTAACTTTTGGTTTTTCAAAAGCCTAAATCTTCAGTACTGTTTCACATACATAAACGAAATATCACACATGGGTAAAATATCTAATTGTCGGCATTATGTCGAATTTTTTATTATTTCTGTCAAACGTATGTAGTACATTACGCTATTTTTTATTTATCAAAAATAAAAAGGCAAATGAATTTATAGTATTCCCCACTATCATGTACATATTGTTTGCTGTTAACCTGGTGCGAAAATCTTTTTTCATCGAGATTCTATTCTATTTTTTAAAAGTTTCAGTATGTAAAAATTGATAAAAAATCATGCCTATATCCCGAGTTGCCATTGCAATAGTATTATATAAGAATATTCGAGAAAGTTAAGGATCACTCTCGCTTTTTTTAAAGAAAGAAAATTAAAAGCTTAAATTCCTGACTCAGTTGCGTCTCGTTAATAGTTAAAATTCCATCGTAAAACGGTTCACGTTGTTGCCTTCAAATATGATATTTCTGAGAATCTGGTATTTTTCCAGGTTCCTACGTCATCATAATGGGATGGAGTGGTCTAGCGGTAGAGTGCTGGACTGCTAACCCGTAAGTCTCGAGTTCGAATCCTGTTTAAAGTCAGTAAACAGTCCTTGAGTCCACCCTACTCTGATGGGTACCTAACTCACGTTAGGGAGAGTAAAGGCGGCTGGGCATAGTGCTGACCACACTATCTCTTCATATTCCGAGGTCACAGAAACAAGTGAACTCTACTTCATTTGCCCCATAGACCGTCAGGTTTAAAAGAAACTTTTTTTTACGGCATCATAGCTATCTCCTTACGAGATATCAAAGTTTGGTCGCATCTGCGAGTGGTAGTTCTAATCAGAGCACTTTAAAAAAGTATGGTTTATATAAGGCCGCGGTCAGTCTAGGTAAGTTTTTGGTCACCTTCAACTCCATTATATAGATGGCTCTAATTTTCCCGTTAAAATGAGATTGAACAGTAAACTGTCAAGAACAATTTCCCTGTAACTTACTTGCAAGTACCCGATCTAACAGGTGTGAGGAACAAACAAATCAACCGCCACTTTATTTTAATAAATTTGGATAAAACAATAAATTCGATTATTTGGGATCGTATCATAGCTAGTTATCGCTGTTTACCCAACGAATTCATAGTATACAAGTAGCCAATACTTTCTTTATATTGTCATAGCTTCTACCATACGCCTTGTTCTTGTTATACACTACGCTTCTTTACATAGTTATATCCTGAGCTAATTTCAAAGTAGCTAATATTTGACATGGTCAAATTTTCAGGAGCCAAATAGCAGAGTGTAAGTTTATGCTGTAAAAATATAACAACAACATAACTTTTTAGTTAAAACTTTTAGATAAAATCCCAATCGACATTACGATTAAGAACTGAGATGAAGCGATCTGTTCATGTACAGTAATGTACACGATTGTGTATTTTTACTTCGTATTTTGTTAATTTCTAAGATATTCATTTTTTTTCTAAGGTGTTTTGTACCACCTTAACAGTGATTCAACAATTGAGATGTTTTCCAACGTCTGGTTGCTTTAATCCCTAAAGTTTCTCTTTTTGTCTATAAGCTACAAGAAATTAAAACAAAATCTTGTCTCCTCTTCGTATTGAGTCTTTGTTTAAAAAATAAAAAAAAATAAAAAATTATAAACGAAATGTAATAGAATATTGCAGGCTTGTGAGTTGTGATGACTCATATTAGCAGTAATGA